GTCTCTTTCCATCTCAGAGTCTGGGCATTATCTTGTGTGGGAGGATACTTTCCTGGATTTCTGCAAGATGCGCTATGGCTGGCGATCCCCCATTTACAAATCCCTTGATGTGGGTGATGTCTCCTTCCACTGGCCACTTATGACTTCCTCTCAGACTCCTGGCTTCTGGTAGTCCCTCCCTAGCTGGGGTCACCTCTCTCTTCCAGGAAGCCCTCTTGGGCAGTCCACTCTTGGCCTGTGAAAAACATGCAAACATCGTGCTCTGCTGAGCTCTTGGGGGCAGCTCACTCTCAAGGTGGTCCTCTGGACTCTCTCCAGAGCAACCAGCCAGCCATAGCCACTTGCCTTCAGATTATTTTCAGGTCTGAGTCCTGGGTCCCTCATACTCCAATGGATTCAAGTCAAGCTCTCGGAGTTCTTCTCTGGAATCCCCCTCTGAAGTGGGTTACAGTAAGAAACAATCACACCATTGGCCAGGGTGGAAGAAAGTGACAACTCTCTCCGGTCAGATCTTCACTACCACCTGCCTTTCAACCTTAGTTCTTAGCTCTCTCTCATGCAGTCTGGAGGTGGGTAACAGCTATTCATCACTCCTTTTGCAAGTGTAACATCTTGTTAGAATGTAGGAGGAGTTTAGTGTAGTTGACACTCAATTTTATTTTACCTGACCTTTAAGGCCTCTGTCTGAATTTTGAGATGGGAAGAGTCCCACTTAAATATGTGTGTTTGACACATGGTAGAGTTTCACTAATAGAAGCTATGGTGTATTGCCAATCACCCAGCCTTGTGGTCAATCAAGCCTTTAAAAACGGCTGGAATCCACTTCCTCTAGACCAGACTGAAGGGAAATTTGTACCCTCATGTATAGTTTGAAAGGTAGTTGCTTGGTCCTCCTTATGTCCAGTCTACATATCTATTGTAAATAGAATGTTTACAGCCATATGAGCCCAGTAGCTGCTGTGCCCATGCACATGCCCAGACTCATACTTGATGACAAATCACAAGTCCTAGGAAACCAGGAACCATCTTAGCTGCTCACATTGTGGGGAAGAGGGAAGTGAGCCCTCCTCAGTTCATTGAGATGGAGTCCGTCTCAGCTACAGCAGGGGGAGTGGGAATGTGCAGTTGTGTGCTGGGCTGTGTGCTGCCAGTGTGCCCTGGGCTGGCACCTGTCTTGATGAGTCAGTCTCTATGCTAAACTGGTTTTTATGTATTTTGAATATTGTCCTTGCTTGTAGGCATGGAGATACTCAAATCCACAGACACACAGAAACACCAGCAGCAAGGCCGGGCATGGTGGCTCATGCCTGTAATCCCAGCACTTTGGGAGGCTGAGACAGGTGGATCACAAGGTCAAGAGGTCGAGAGCATCCTGGCTAACATGGTGGAACCCTATCTCTACTAAAAATACAAAACATTAGCCGGGCGTGGTGGCGGGTGCCTATAGTCCTAGCTACTCAGGAGGCTGAGGCAGGAGAATGGTGTGAACCCGGGAGGTGGAGCTTGCAGTGAGCTGAGATCGCACCACTGCACTGCAGCCTGGGTAACAGAGTGAGATTCTGTCCCCAAAAAAAGAAAGAAAGAAAGAAAGAAACACCAGCAGTGTACATGCATAAAAAATTACATCTTCACACACAGGTGCACATGCAGTTATTTTCCTTAAGCTTAAAAGCAGAAGTTTCATGAACCTGGAAGATATGAACTGAACTGATCTACGGTGTGACAACATGTTAGGAAAGCATCTGCCCTGAAGTCTTTCTCTTGGCCTCTTAATCTTTACGTCTTCATTTCTTTGTTAGATATCACAGGTGGCACCGGAAGGGATTAAAGCAGGCAGAGGCACAGCCTCAAATACATGTATGTATATATATCCCCAAACTCAGGAATACAATGCAAAGTCGTTGTTTCCAGATTGCAAAAGTATATTGAGAAAGATTCAACTAAAACACTAAGGCTTCAGTTGGCAAAATTTTTGTACAAAGGATCAGATAATGGGCTTGGCGTGGTGGCTCATGCCTGTAATCCCATCATTTTGGGAGGCCAAGGCAGGCGGATCACCTGAGGTCAGGAGTTCAAGGCCAGCCTGACAATATGATGAAATGCCGTCTCTACTAAAAGTATAAAAATTAGCCAGGTATGGTAGCATGCACCTGTAATCCCTGCTACTTGGGAGGCTGAGACAGAATTGCTTGAACCCAGGAGGCGGAGGTTGCAGTGAGCCAAGATTGCACCATTGCACTCCAGCCTGGGCGACAAAAGCAAAACTCGGTCTCACCAAAAAAAAAAAAAAAAAAAAAGGATTAGATAAATATTTTAGAATTTGTGATCCATATGGGCTCTTCAAAATGACTCAACTCTGCTATTTAGCATAAAAATAGCCATAGACAAGAAGACACAAATAAGCATAGTTATGTTTCAATATAACTTTATTTACAAAAAAGGAAGCAGGCCAGATTTAGCCCGTGGGCTTTAATATGCAGCCTGAAGAACCCAGAAGCTATCCAAGTGGCTTCACTGATCTCTAAGGTTAGTGGGGCTCCATTCTGTCTCCTTGAGAAAGGATAAAAATCAATTGTTTTGGATGCGGCATCAGTTCTGTTCTTATTATTTTGTGCTGTGAATTGTGTTCTTCTGAATGAGTGATCTCAATCCCTCTTTTTTGCTCCTCCTTCCCTCTTTCTGTGTATATATCTCTACGTGTTTCCCATTCTTCATTCTGTTCCCTTGCACTCGCAGGGTTGAGTGACTTTAGAACGGGACACTTTTACATTCATCCTTGCTAAAATCCTGGCTTCTTTTCAGGTTCCTCATCTATACTTGATGTGCAGTAGTAGAAGGAACACTTGTCTGGATCACTGGACAGGACACACCAACAGCTTGCTATGTGACAAACCACCTAGCCTCTCTGAGCCTCCCCTTCCTCATCTGTCAAATGAGGGAGTTGGCTAACTGGTCTCTAAAATCCCTTGCAAGCTGGGTGTGTTGCCTCACACTTGTAATCTCAGCACTTTGGGAGGCCGAGGCAGGAGAACTGCTCGAGGCTGTCTTGAGGACGCTCAAGACAAGACCAGTCTGGGCAACATAGGAAGACCCTGTCTCTATTCTAAAAAAAAAAAAAAAAAGGGTGTGGCAGCACATGCCATTAGGGCCAGCTATTCAGGAAGCTGAGGTGAGAGGATCACTTGAGCCCAAGAGGCCAAGGCTGCAGTAAGCCATGATTATGCTACTGTACTCCAGCCTGGGCAACAGAGGGAGACCCTGTCTCAATAAAAAAAAGAGAAAGGAAAGAAAGAAAGAAAGAGAAAGAAAGAGAGAAAGAAAGAGAGAAAGAAAGAAAGAAAGAAAGAAAGAAAGAAAGAAAGAAAGAAAGAGGCCAAGGCTGCAAAGTAAGCCATGATTATGCTACTGTACTCCAGCCTGGGCAACAGAGGGAGACCCTGTCTCAATAAAAAGAAAGCTGTTGTTGTTGTTATGTTGTTATATGTTGTTATATATTGTTGTTGTTGTTGTTGTTGTTGTTGTTGTTGTTGTTGTTGTTGTTGTTGTTATATACAGAAGAAAGAAAGAAAGAAAGAAAGAAAGAAAGAAAGAAAGAAAGAAAGAAAGAAAGAGAGAAAGAAAGAAAGAGAGGAAGAAAGAGGGAAGGAAGGAAGAAAAGAAGGAAAGAAAGAGAGAAAGAGAAAGAGAGAGAAAAAGAAAGGGAAGGGAGGGAAGGAAGGAAGGGAAGGAAGGGAAGGAAGGAAGGAAGGAAGGAAGGGAGGGAGGAAGGAAAGGAGGGAGGGAGGGAGGGAAAGAAGGAAAGAAGGAAAGAAAGAAAAGAAAGACTTTAAAATCCCTTGTAGCTGTAAGCTTGTGATTTTAGGAAGTTGCAGCCTCAATCCAGGCAACTGTCTGAGGCCATTAATTAAGATGTCACTCATAGACCTTAACGAAACTGCTAGGATGCCAACAGAAATTAGCCACATGATCTCCTGTGGTTGGTAACCTTCCTAAGGCCTTCACAGCTGAGGACAGTGTGGGCACGGCTAACTTCAGACTGAGATTCCAATCCAGTAAGGGGAGAAGAGGAAGATAAATGACTCCAGGAACCTTATGTTCCAGGAAAATTCATTTGCATTTTTAAACTGTAGCTACAAAATGCACACAAATATTGATTCAGTTGGAAACTGGACCCTAGGATGCTATTGTCGGGGAGGTGGGACACTCTCCCTTCTCCGTCAGACCCTCCTATGTAGGGGTCGTCTGGCTACCTAAAAGATACCCCTCAAATCCCACCAAAAAAATGTATGAAAAGGTAAGGAGGAAATGAAGGCTTTGAGGAGCTAAAAAAATGAATTAGGAGTTAGCAAATTCCAGCATGTGTCAAAGGAAAGAGGTCTTCTCTGTAGCAGGGATGGGCGAGGTCAGGGAAGGTTGGAGAACCCAGACTTTGGCTAGGCAAAGGCTGGCAGTGGTTGGCAACTCAGGAGAGAGTTTGCATAGCATCATCCCCGCTATCAGGCCCAATCCCCAGCTCAGAGCCCACCAGCTTGTGGATGCAGCAGATGGGCAAGGGGCTCGAGCCCTCTCCCTCCCTCCTGGACACAGTCTTGAGGGTGCAGAATGAGTAGAGATAAGCCCCCCTTCTGGCCTCCAGAAGAACAGGTTGTTATTATCTGACTCTGCTAAAGCTGTCTCATTTGTAGCCTAAATAATTCACTCACCAATCTCTCAAGAAGCATTAGGAGAAAAACAAAACCTGACCCAGCCCTCATGCTCAGGTTCCCATTGCACAGAAGGCAGGCCAGGAGGCTGGGAGGCAGTCCCGCACTGCAGAGATGGCCTGCCTTCAAGGGTTCATGGGGTTGGCACCCTTCTGAAAAAAGACCCAGAGTCTGTTTCTGTACAGCTAAGACTTGAGCTATTAATAAGGCTAGCTTTTGCATTTTAAAGACATTTTAAAACAAAATAAAACAAAAAACCAACAACAAAAACAAAGAATATGCAACAGAGACTGTATGTGAGCTGCAAAGCTTGAAATATTTACTATCTGGCCTTTTCCAGAAAAAGCTTGCCAATCCCTTAATCCATCCCCACCCTCCATCCTCCAGCCTTAAAGGAGGCAATGATGATCTTTGACCAACTCCCTGACTACCCTACCCCATGAGCCCACCATCTGCAGAGATTCTGAGTCGTGAATTCTGGTATTTACAGTCTAGTAAGAAGCTGGCACCATTGTTCACCCCATTGCCAAAAACAAGAAAATAAACTGGAGTAGGGCGAGAAAGGGGGAATAACAGTCCTGGTTCTACTGTGCGGGGAGGAAGGGAGAAGCTGAGACTCAGCCACAAACTATAACCTGATTTTTTTCCCTGAGGCTCAGAATTCAGCATTGTCCAGGTTGGTCTCTACTGACACTCCCCTCCCTAGGGCCTTGGTGATCTCAATGCCCACAGTCTCAGAGGCTGCAATTCTCTTACTGATGAGATATCTAAGTAGCCCATGCCTCTGAGGCCCTGAAGCTTGTGTATCATCCCTGAGCCATTTAGAGTGTCAGCCTGACAGCACTGACCTTTAATTCTATCTAAACAGAGGTTCTAGCCTTCCCCCGCTGCGGCCCGGCAGGGGCCTTTGAAAAGAGAAGACTCTAACCAGTTCTATGTCCCACCTAGAATCTCTCCTGGAGCCAGAGTCTTTGAGAATTATAGCCCAAAGACCCCAGAAGAGATGGGTCAGAGTGGCAATGGAGATGCCAGCTGAGCCCCAGCTGTAACTGGGTTGAGTGACCTCTGGGTGTCATAAGACCTGCTTGAAATTTTGGAGGATGAGAGTAGAGTGGAGACCAGATGGTCCCACCTCCCTATGTGTGGATATTCTGGATTATTTCAGACAGGAGAACAGTGACCTTAGTAAAAGTCCCTGCTCTAGCATCTCCCAAGAAAAATGTTGCTGCTGTCTAGCCTGTACTTTCCTGGTTCCAGTAACTTGAGATAAAATTAACTCAATTAACTTGGAATCCTATTATTCAGGCTAGTGGAAAATCATCAGTCTTAGAGGTTTGGGAGCCCAGGCTATGAGATCTTGGGCGAACTGCCTCACCTCTCTGGGGCTCTTTCCTCATCTGTTAAAATAAGCAAACAAACAAACAAAAAACCTGAGGTGCTTGGATGGAGGTGATTTTAAAGTCCTGTCCATCCCATACCCAATGAATGGCCCAAACCAGGCCATACCTGTGCCAAAGATTTGCTAGGAAGTTATTTGGCTTTATTTTTACTTTCCTTTCCCAAGTCAATCCAATCCCATCCAAATGAGATACCGCTGGTCTGGGATAAGGGGAGAGTGTTTTCCTGCAACATGTTAGCAGCTTGCTGGGGATTCAGAACTGATGCGAAAGAGGGAGGTGGTGGGTGCTGAATGCGATCTCTTGTCTCTATGCCCTGTGGCCATGGGGTATCTGAAAAACTATGGGAATCTCATTCCCAAACCCCCATCATGCCATAGCATGTGGCCCGGAAGCCACGGTCTGGTATCAAGTACTTTAACCTAAATTATCTAAATTGTCTGTCATCAACTCTCCAATTCAACCGGACATTCCTTAAGGGTAGGAATTGTGTGTTGACCTTCGTGTCTCCAGAGAAGCCCAGCTCCACACTAGGTATGTGGTTGCAGATCCATCCATATCTGCTGAGCGGCTTAACTGAAGTGCCCCGGAAAGACTGATGCTGCATTTGGCATGAGGCATGTAAGTGAATCCCCATCTTTCCTGGCTGATGACCGGATACCAATCTTCAGTCCATGGCTCAATCAAGCCTTTCTTGTCCAGGCCATGACCCCCAAGAGCTATCGTGTGACCTGGTGAAGAAGTGATAGGGTAAGGTTAGAGAAGTGAATGCCTATTCCATTCCAGCATGCCAGAGACTACCCAGAATATGCAGGTCACTTAGAGGCCACTGCTGCTGATCCTCTCACCCTAAAGCAGGCCGGACTGGCAAAGCATGGCCTGGTGACCGACGCAAACATACATCACACAAGCCTCCCCACTGTTTGCTTCAGAGTAGCTACCCAAATTGCAAGCACTTCCTTACAGGTTCCAAACCCACACTTATAACACAGTGACAAATGTCACAAGCTCTGTAGTGGGTCTCATTCTCTTCTGATGTTAAATATACTCAGAATGGCTGTCCCTCATCCCTGCCTACAGACAGAAAGAAGATGCTCTACTTTAGAGCCAGTCAAACTTTTTCTTGCTGTAGCTCCTTTTGTTCTGTGCTCTGTGAAAATGGTTGCTGTCTTCAGAAGCTGAAAGTTGTCTTTTTTTTTTTTTGAGAAGGAGTCTCACTCTGTCGCCCAGCCTGGAGTGCAGTGGCATGATCTCTGCTTACCACAACCTCTGCCTCCCAGGTTCAAGTGATTCTCCTGCCTCAGCCTCCCAAGTAGCTGGGATTACAGGCACGTGCCACCATGCCCAGCTAATTTTTGTATTTTTAGTAGAGACAGGGTTTCACCATGTTGGCCAGGTTGGTCTTGAACTCCTGACTTCTTGATTCACCCACCTTAGCCTCCCAAAGTGCTGGGATTACAGGCGTGAGCCACTGCGCCCGGCCCTCCTTCTCTATTTTCTTCTGTGTTTGCTTGTTTGCTGTGTGTGGTGGCAGGGAGGGAAAGCCAAAGGCAGAGCCCTGGCTCGCTCCGTAGTGTCACTCTTCTGTACCAATGGCGATGACAGAGCAATGCAGCTGATTAACCATGACACACATGGAGCTGCTAACGAGTTTGATAAAAATTTAATTACCCCTTGTTCTGTGGGGCAGGCAGCAAACCATGAAAGTAATAATCCTCTTGGGTGTTGTGAGAGTAGACAGAGAAATCTGACTAGAGGAGGGTAGGCATGAACTGTAGGGAGTCAACAACAGTGGGAATGGGGTGGAGGTGGGGGATGGTCATGGCAGAGGTGAGTGGCAGAGTGGCTACTGTACCTGGAGTTCAGGTAGAAGTAGCAATTCCTCCCTCAATTATCTAGAAAATTTTTCCCATTCTCTATTATGCTTTTATAGGCCTGATATTTTCTGGAGGCAAACTAATTCCAGGCAGAGAAGAGGAAACCAGGGTACATGCACATCAAGAATCTTCCCAGCACACACTGGATTTCAAGTCCTGACTCCCCTAACTCCAGTCCAGTGAGAACAGACCTAGGAGGACTGTCTGTGAATTTCATGGTTCACGATCTCACCTTGGGACACTGACATCCTAGACCTCCAAGGCTCCTGTGCCCCCTTTTCTGCTCCTGGTAGAGGGGGAAGGGGAGGGTGGGATGAGGTGCCCACCCAGGGTACCTTGGTGGTTTTGACTTTGTGTCCACTGCTGCAGCTCCATCCCGACAGGTCCGGGAGCACCTTACACTCCTCCCCAGGCAGGCAGGGCTCCATCTGACACCACCATCTCTGCAGGACGATGGAGGCTGTGGGAGCAGGAGGCGGAGTGCAGCTCTAGGGTCTCTATGAGCACAGTGGGCAGCCAAGAGCAGGTCTGCGAATGAGGTGCACGTTTCCACACACCCCTGGCCTTGAGGCATGCATTTCCCTCATCTTTCCCCTACTCCAGGCTGCCTAGAGAGGCAGTACTCAGGCTGAGGCCTGGGGACATAACCCCCAACTTTAATCCCACCGATCCCTGAATCTCCCCAGACAGTGAGGGGCGAAGGCAGGCAAAAGTGTCTCTAAGGTGACCACGTCACTAGCATAGATGCACAACCAGTATACTCCCTCTGTGGTGTGTGAGCAAGGGTGTGAGTCGTCTGGAGGGGTCTACAGACCAGGAGTGCATAGCTGGCATAGCTGGTATGCGCATGACACAGTGGGCACGTGCATGGGGTGCCAAATGAGTGTGAGCGTATGAGTGTGGGTGTGAAGGATCACATGTGTCCACACAGGAAAGTGTGAGAGGAGGGCTGAGAAGGAGAGGAGGGTACGCGGAGGCGGCCAGGGAAAGGAGCAGCAGGGGAAGGAGCTGGAGGAAGTGTGTGGAGAGAGGAGTGGGGCTGTGTGAGGGAACGCGCCTGTGTGTGCACCAGGCAGAGGGCACGCGAGTGTGGGAGGCTGCACGCATAACGAGAGTTTTTCTCATCTATGACACAGGGATGGCCACATCTGCCCTCTTCTCCCAGAGGGGGCCCCACCATTTGAGACTAATCATGAAAGCCCTGAGACGGGTATGAAATTGTATCCCCAGCAGATGGCGAGGCCTGAACAGGCCTCCTTATGGCTCAGCTCAGGGCCCTGGCCGGGTCCTGGCCTCTCACTCACCGTCCACGCAGGAGGGCTTTGCCCGCGTGGTGCCGGCCACCTGGCCAGAAAAACAGGAGCATTTCACCGTCTGGGAGCGCTCCTCGATGCGGTTTCGGTTGCAGCAGCGGTGAGCCGCAATCACCTCGCAGGTGCCCTGCTGCACAAGCACTGAGGGGAGCCGCCCAGGATCAGACGCCCAACACGCCCGACCTGCTCCCTCCCGCCACCCAGGCTGGCCTCCAGCCCCTCTTTCCTGCTTCAAGGAGGGCTATGGAAGAATGGAAGAGATGGCCAGTGGCGGGGGAGGAGGAAGTGGATGAAATCTTCCCGCCGCTTCACAGAGCTCCTACTCTTCCTCCCTCCCCTGTGAGACCGTGCTCTTCACCCTTTGGCAGAGCACGGCCCCTGGGCAGAAGACAGAGAGTCCCGCACCAGCCCCGCCTCCCCAGCTTCCTCAGGGTGAGGGCAAGGGCCCCAGGGCTTACAATGCGTGGGGAGGATCATCCGCTTACACAGGCTTTAGCCATCCCAGAAGGAAAACCACAGAATTAGGCCAGGAGGCTAGAGTTAAGCCCCCGCCCGAGGGCCTCTCTCACTACAGAACACCTTCCAGCCTGGAAGGAGAGGTGAGCAAAGGGTCTGCCCAGACCTTCTCTGGGGCAGGACAGCAGGGATGGGCAGAGTTCCCTGGGTAAAGAGCAGAGGAGGAGCCAGAACCCCTAGAATCTCTGGATTTTACTCTGCCTGGGAGACCTGCCCGCTATGGAATACGGTGGAGTGGTGTCCAGCTCCCCAGGTGTCCTGGGAAACTCCCTCCCTGGGCCCTGCCACCTCCTCCAAACCTGTAGCAGTGGGAGGCTGCAAGGCAGCCAAGGTCAGGCGGGTCCACAGCCAGGTCAGGCACAGTGCCAGCAGCCAGCCGCCTGTGCTCCAGTTCCACGCAGCCCTCTCACTCATCCTGTGGAGAGAAGCACACATTCTGCTCAGCTCCAGGCAGAAGCTCCCCTGTGCCCAGGCTGGGCACCTTCTCTGTGCCACACACTCTGGGAGGCACAAAGATGGGGAGGAGGCACACCTTGTCCCCAGGCATCTTTCAACCTGGCACAGAGTCATGCAGGCAGTAATGAGTGCTACAGGAAGAAAAGGAGAGCCTTTGGAGGAGACGACATTTAAGAGGCATCTTGGAGGATGAACTAGATATGGGCCCATGGAGGGCTGTGACATGGGAGGGACAATAATGCTGACTCCTACTCTTTGAGTGCTTGGTTCCAGCACTTCACATGCACACTCTTGAATTCTTCACAACTGTCCTACAAAGTAAGATTATTATTACCTGTTTTACAGGTGAGCAAACCAAAGCTCAAAAAGCTGGGACATAACCTAAACAACCATCAGTAAAAGACTGGCTGAATACATCATAAAGAGTCTGCACAAACGCAGTCTCATCCAGATAGCTGTAAAAAACCAATGGGGAAATGCTTTATGTCCTGACACATGCAATGATCTCCAGTGATAATCCACTGTTAAGGGGGGAAAAAAGCAAAGTGTAGAATGGTGTGTATACAATGTGTATAAGGCAGGCCAGGAGTGTGGTGGTTCACGCCTCTAATTCCAGCACTTTGGGAGGCCAAGGCAGGAGGATCACTTGAGGCCAGAAGTTCGAGACCAGCCTAGGCAACATAGCAAGACCCCCATCTCTACAAAAAATTAAAAAATTAGTCAGGCATGGTGGTGCACACCTGTCGTCCCGGCTACTCCAGAGGCTGAAGTGAGAGGACTGCTTGAGCCCAGGAGTTTGAGGCTGCAGTGATCTATGTCTGAGATACTGCAATCCAGCCTGGGCAACAGAGTGAGACCCCAGCTCAAAAATAAATATAATAAAATGTGTATAAAGGAAGGATTATCTATGTTGCTCAGATATGCATAAACTAGCTTTGAAAAATGTATTTTAAAACTAGTAATATTGTTTGCCATCAAAAAGGGAAACTGGTTGGCTGGGAGATGGAGGTAGAAGAGAGGCATTTTTCTCCTGATTTATTTCTTGCTTTTTGAGCTTCCAACCACGAGAATGCAGTAGCACTTCAATTTAAACAGAATTTAAATTTAAAAAGGAAGAGATGAAACCAAGGCTAATAGAAGTCAAATGACTTGCCCAAGGCCAGGCAGCATGTGGGTGGAAGAGTCCAGAGCCTAGAAACCTGCCCTCTGTCCACTGTACCACCTTGCCTCTGCTCTCTTCCCCTTTCCTTTTCCTCTTTCATCGTTGATGGTTTGGGCCTCCCAAAGCTACCCTGAAGGGCAGGCTGGAAATGGAGGGAATCCTAAGGAAGCAAGAGGCACAGAGTAGCTAGGAGCTGCGCAGTCATAGGAGGGGGTGAGAGCAGTACCAGGAGGCAGCAAGGCCACAAGCTCAGGGGTAGGCCTGGAGCACTGCTGGGCCCCCACAAGTGCCAGTGCAGCTTTGGGAATACCAGAGGCCAAACCAACTGCCAGGACCCAGTTGCTCGACGGATAGGGTACTTGATCTCTGTCCACCCCCGCTACTCCCCATCTTCAATGTCTCCTTACTCACCTTTTTGGGGATCTTTCAGTTTCTGTCTGTTCATCTGCTGGCCTCAGACTCACACCACCTGGACAAGTAGGAAAGATTCTTAGGGGGTTGCAAAGGATAGAGGGAGCCCATGGCTCTGCAGGGGGTGAAGGAGAACCTGGGAGAGGGCAAGGGGGTGGGCTGGGCACTGAAGTTCAGCCCAATTCTGAAGCTGTTCTCAGGTGCCAGGGCAGGGACAGTCTCTTCTACCCTGGGAATCTGGAGGGGCCCTTGCAGACTCTGGGATCACACAGGGTGGTGAACCTGAGAAGGGTGGCCTGAGGGAGTTTCTCTATCCCAAGAGTGAAGCAGGGTGATGGTAGGAAGGGGTCTAAGAATCACAGCTGTCATCTCTCTGGCCTTGGGAGGGAGCTGAGGGTCAAGGAAGGAGCAGAACCTGACAGATTCCTGCTGGAAGAGGCAGTGGGAAAGAGTCTTGAGGCCCTGATCCTCTCTGCTTCCACCTCCTACCCACTATGGCCCCTGCTTCCTGGACTCACATGGAGCTGGCTTGGCTTAGCCATCCTCGCCCCCATTCCCACTCCAGAGGACTAGAATGGGGACACTTCAGGTCCCTGAGCCTTTGAAGGCCACAGCCTCCAATAGCTTTCCATGTCTCCCTAAGAACCTCTCTTCCCTCACTGCTCTAAAGGGAGGCAGAACTGAAACATATAGGATGGTGGGGTCCCATAAGGACAGAGACCCCTGAGTCCTAGCTCCCAGGAGTGAGAGCATAAGGGGGATCTGGAGGAAGACAGAGGAAGAGGTGCCAACTCCCAGGGGATGGGTGTGCTCCGTGGGCTGAGCTTCCCACCCTTCTAGATGTGCCTCTTTTCTGAGTAGGCATCTCTTCTCCCTGCCCTCTAGGAACCCTCCTTTTGACCATCACAAATGCAGCTTTGTCTTCTCTCAGGTGATCCTATTTCCCTCTGAGCTGCAACATCCTCCAGTCCAACTCAGGCATCTCTCCTAGGAACCCCAAGGCCCAAAAGACCTCGGTGGGGTGGGCAGCAGAGGGGTGGGGGGTGTTCATTTGGGCTTTTATCCCTGGCATTCTATTCCCTCCCCCCACCCCGGAAACAGCTGGACATAGAAGCTTCTGGGATTTGTTTTTTGACTTCCATGCTCCTGCCTCAGTTTCCTAGCCTATTTTTCCTAAACCCCAATCCAGGGGTTTAGTGAGGCTGAGTTAACAGCCTGCATTATAAGGGTTTGAGGATGTGAACCACAAGAACCTTCAACCTTTCTTCACCTTCTCTCCCCACAAACCCCCCTAACGCCTACTTATTCCTCCACATTCTGAGCCCCACACCTGGGACCTACCTGGTCCACGGTGGTGCCCACTGGTTCGACCTGCTGGCCTGAAGTCTTCCTTGTCCCTGAGCCAGGGACCAACACTCCGAAAGACAGACTTTGGGAGGGAGCGGCCAGCTTGGGTGCTGTCTAGTCTGGAGCCCCGTCCCCTTCACCAAGTTGCTGCGCCCCGGGACAGCGGGGTTCTGGTCAGGTTGGCATCATCCGCAGGGCGGGCCCGGCTCTGGGCACAGGGGAAGCTCCGGGCCCGGCCCCGCCAGCTCTGCAGAACTCAGCCGGGTTTTTTCCAAGGTTCCTGCCGGCAGGCCGGGGAGCGCGCAGCCGCCGCCGCAACCGCCGCCTCGCCCCGGGCTATCCCCGCTCCTCTTGCCCGGCGTGGGCGCCGCCGCCTCCTTCGGGACAGCGCCAGGCGCTCGGCTGAGCGGATGGGCACAGCCGGGACGCAGCGGCCCCTGGCGGCCGAGGGCAAGAGGAAGGGAGAGAGGACATCCGGCCCCCGCAAGTTCTGTGCGGTTGGACACCTCCCTGGTGCAGGCCAGGCAACTCAGAGGAGGTCCCTCAAAACCCTCAAGGTCTCGTGGCCCTCAGTGCCCTGGCTCAGGGGAGCTGGAGGTGCTGGGGGAAAAGGAGCTGGGAGTGACGAGTGATTGACTATACCCTCAGGGTTTTTGAGCTTTGAAGATTGCAGAACTGCATTATCCAAGACTGTAGCCACTAGTGGCATATTGATATTTAAATTTAAATCTAAATTAATTAAATAAAACTCAAAATGAAATAGCTCAATAGCCACACGAAGATAGGGACTGTTGTATTGGACAGAGCAGATGTAGAACATTCCCGTCAGTGCGCAAAGTTCTGTTGGACAGCACTCTTCTAGATTGATATTTAGGAGGGATAGTGAATATCTCTTCCTCTCCCAGGAGTGGTGCTCTCAGGGGCTGGGAGGGCTAGAGGAAGTATAAGGGTGTGGGCATTAGGCAGGAGGACAGTAGTAGGCTATGAATGGTCCCTATGGATGATAACTGTGAATACCAACATGGGAACTAAACTCTGAGACCTAGTTTCTTGTTTTCCTTCCTTCCTTCCTTCCTTCCTTCCTTCCTTCCTTCCTTCCTTCCTCCCAGAGTGGCGTGCCTCAGGCCAAAGGCCAGGCGCCAGCAAGGTGTGCACTTGAAAGGCGGCTATCGTTATGTTTCGCCAACGCATCCCTTAATATAATTGGGGAATACAATATGGGAATGGAATGATGGAGTGGATTTTCTTTTCTTTCTTTTTTCTTTTTCTTTTTCTTTTTTTTTTTTTTTTTCCTTCCTTCCTTCCTTCCTTCCTTCCTTCCTTCCTTCCTTCCTTCCTTCCTTCTTTCCTTCCTTCTTTCCTACTTTCCTTCCTTCCTTCCTTCTTTCCTTCCTTCCTTCTTTCATTCTTTTTCCTTTCTTTTTTATTTATTTATTTTTGTGGGGGGACAGGGTCTCATCACTCTGTCACCCAGATTTTGGTTCATTGTAACCTCCACCTCCTGGGCTCAAATGATTCTCCCATGTCATCCTCCTGAGTAGCTGGGACTATAGGCGTAGTCTGTAGTGCACTACCAAGCCAGGGTTAATTTTTTGTATTTTTTGTAGAGACAGGGTTTTGCAATGTTGCCCAGGCTGGTCTTGAACTCCTGGACTCAACTGATCCATCCACCATGGCCTCCCAAAGTGCTATGATTACAGGCGTGAACCAGTACTCCTGGCCTGAGACCCAGTTTCTTTATCAGAAAAATTGTAATGTAATTAATTGCAACTGAATAATTCTTTACAGGGATCTATTCTGGATGCGAAAGTATTAGACAAATGAGAGGGAGTTGTGTTCTGTGAATTAGAAGGAACTTTCCTCTTAGTTTAAGAGGCCTTTGGGTTTGGGGTGATGTGAAGGGGAGAGACAAGGCAGAAGATGACCAGTTCTGGGCCCTGAGCCACCAACGTGGCCTGAGATAAAGGGGCCTGTCTTGAGGCTGTCCAGTCCCCCTCCTTGGCTCAAGCTTCATGTTCCCCCGGCAGGGCCAGTCACTGAGCAGAGTCTCGCTCTTCACAGAGAAAAACATCCCACAAGTCTGGTTCTTCGTACCCCACCCCCTTTTCCCTCTCACTTTCCACTGCCTCAGGGATGAGTAGAGGTGATGACCTCACCAGGTTCTGGGACAGTCTGAGGATGGAGGAGGCATAATGATGTCAGGAATAGGAGGTGAGAGGTTCAGAGAGAGGGGAGCCTTAGGATGAGGCCATGGCTGGGGGCTGTTCTGGAGCTACAGGGAGCTGTCATCCCCTGCTGGTCGTCTGGTGCTGGGGCTGGGGGGGTCTCTGGGCTTACCTCTGCGGACCTCTTGCAGCCACACCATGGTGCTAGAAAGGGCAGGGAATAGGAAGCTGGGTGACACCAAGAAGCAGTAAGTAAACTGTCCCAGAAACACTGAATAATAAAAAACAACCAGGAGTTATATTTGTTTCTTCAGTTGCTGGCTTGCTGCTGCTGTAATTTATCTGAGAGTTGGTTTCAGTTTTTCTCAAATAGCAGAGGAAAACCTACAGAAGCAGGTTGTTCTTTGTCCCTGTCTGCCTTTGCTGCTGTTTGCCTTGGGGTCTGTTTTTTTTTTTTCTCTCCTGTGACTTCTTTTCCTCTGGCTGTCTGTCCAAAGCTCAGGTGCAACATAGCAGGCATAGTAAGTCTACCAACCTGAATGACCACTGTGGGATCTTTATTTGGAAGATACCAAGAAAGTCATCCCTTCTGGGGACACAGCTTAGCCTGGGGAACAGAGTGGGATGTGGTCAGGAAACACATGGCCGACAGAGCCCAGAAAAGTTCCAGCCGTGAACTGGCTGTAGTAGTCCCTGATGGCTTCCTCCAACTTGCACGATGGCCACAACAGCCTTGTCCCCATTTGAGATGTGTGGGTGGGTGGTGTCTGTGGATACCCAGTGATCAACTTTCTGATAGGAGATTTAGAGACAGAGCTCTTGTGGCATCAGGTCAGTATCACCCTCTCCTAGAGGGGAGAAATTAGGAAGAACAGGCAGCCAACCAGTCGCTGGGCTCGGTCCTGGTCTTCCAGCGAGTGGGCTTTTACTCTTCTTAGACAAAGGCTTGGCCTGGCCTCTGTCTCCCCCTGGCGGCAGACATAGAACTTGCTTAGCATTCCCGGACAGCTCTCAGCCCTGGCCCTAAGAGAAGGATGGGAAGGGAGGAACCCCCACTCCTCTCTCTGCCATTGATCTCTTTTCTAGCCCTTCCTCCCTGATCCAGAGAACTAAGCTTGGTTCTTAAGACAGAGCAGGTTTGAATGGCAGGAGGCAGACATAGGTGTGAATCTTTCACTGACTGTGTGACCTCTTGGGGCAAGTCACGGTAAAATGACAAGAAGCGTCCGGTCCTGCCTCATCCATGAAACTGACAGGAAAAAACCCACCTTGAAGGTTGGTGTGCAGGATAAATAACCTAATAATGTATGGAACGTGCTTTATAAAGAGCCTAGTAGGCAGTACGTCTTCAACAAATAGTATTTGTTATGTTGTTATTATCCTATTAATAGCTAGTCCTGCTGTGATCAGGGAAGGTCTACATTGTGGGAAAGACTTGGGTTCTGAGAGAGAAAGGAGGGTGGGAGTGGCACCCTCTAGATCCCTCTAGAGGGATCTAGAGGTGGTCTTCATGGGGAACAGCGCATCAGGAGCCCAGGAATCTACCTCGGCTCCTGATTCCGGGGTGGTCGGCTGCAGCCTGGTCATTATCCCCGCACCCCCACCCGGTACCAGCTTGCTCGCTCTCGCTCCAGCAGCCCCATCCAGAGGTGGTGTCACACCTGGCGCCTCATACCAGCGGCTCCGAAGCTCCTGTTTTGCCCTGAGGTCATTAGCTCCATGGCTCTCTGGGCAGGCTGGCCACACCGAACCAAGAGCGAGGAGACCGCACCCCCTTGTCCCTCAGCCCCTGTCACAATGGAGACGTTCTAGCTGATATCTAATCTAGTGCACGGCTGAAATAAGGTTTCCTTCTCTCCGCCCCCTTCCCACAGCAACAGAACCTACCCCTAAGAAACGGAGGCGGGGCCAAGCCGAAATGGGGCGGGGCAGAGGCCGGGGGTCCGTGCGCCCGTTCCTGGGGTGGCCCAGAGCAAGGGCAAGTTTCGCCCGGGACCCGCCCAGCTGGCCGGGAGCCAGTAGCCGGGAAGGGCCGGTTGGCGCGAGCACCGCCCACCCCGAGTCCTGGGGGCGGGGCCGCGGCCGAGGGCGGGGCAGGGAGGCAGCATGCTAAACCGGGTGCGCTCGGCCGTGGCGCACCTGGTGAGCTCTGGGGGCGCTCCGCCTCCGCGCCCCAAATCCCCGGACCTGCCCAACGCCGCCTCGGCGCCGCCCGCTGCCGCTCCAGAAGCGCCCAGGAGCCCTCCTGCGAAGGCTGGGAGCGGGAGCGCGACGCCCGCGAAGGCTGTTGAGACTCGAGCGAGCTTCTCCAGACCGACCTTTCTGCAGCTGAGCCCCGGGGGGCTGCGACGCGCCGATGACCACGCGGGCCGGGCTGTGCAAAGCCCCCCGGACACGGGCCGCCGCCTGCCCTGGAGCACAGGCTACGCCGAGTGAGCGCCCCCTGGGGCACCCAAACCAGGATGGGACTCCCACCCCTCTCCCCAGCTCCGCATCCCCGGCGCTAGGACGCGTTCCCCACGCCGCGTCCAGGCCAGGAGCTCCCTTTTCCCAGGACCTTTGCTATCCTCTGGTCTTCGTGCCGCACCCCCTCCCAGCCCACTTTCCAGTCGGGCGCAGCCTATGTCACCTTCTTCAGGTCCTTCCCGCTCATTGACTGCCCTCGCTCACGCTGCCTCAGGACCTGTTCTCCCCCAGAGCCCGGAGGGCGGAGGGCCCTGCGAAGGATGAGTTGGCCAGTTCCCAGTCGCGGCCCGGCAGCTTAAAGGCTGAGAGAGAAGGGGTTTCACGAAGGAGCGGGGTTCTTTTTATTAGGGGACATAGCGGTTGGGAAGATTCGCTCACCCGCTTCCCGGCTCCAGCGCCCCAGTTCCCTGTCCCTCTTACCGTAGTTCCCCTCCCCCTCCACACCCAGAAATAGCCCGCGACACCAGCAGGCCGTCAGCTTCCCCAGGGGCGGGGAACTGGGGAAACGGGGAGGGGGACGCCCGGGGTAGAGGAGGGTCCCATTTAGATGCCTCTCAGCCTGCCAACTCATGCTAGCCTGGCAAAGAAGCGGACCCCCTGGCCGGACTGGCCGGCTTGCCCCCAGGCTGTGTGTATTTTTAATGCATCTGTCGGGAACGCAGAGCACCGAGGGAGCTGGGGGCGCTGAGTTCGCTGAGGAAGGTGGCTGGTGGCCCATGGACCCACCACCACCTCCCTTAGCCTCCGGTGTAAGAGGAGCTTGTGGGTATGTGGTTCCTGCCCAGTCCAGGTGGGCTTCCACTTCTACTCTATTTCAATTCCTCTTTCCCGATCTAGGCTGGAGAACTTCCTCATTGTCAAGGCAG